GGTAGATAAAGAGCACAGCCAAGGTTAGCTAAAGAAAACACTGCGCATTTCACTTTTAAACAAAACAAACAACTTGAGTCTTAATATATGTTTATTGTTTCATAGAAGTAGGGGTTTAATTTACTTTTTACTTGTATTTCAAATGTGCTACCCCTCCCTGAGTCTGTGCCCTAGGCTGGCCACCCCCTCCAAAATTTTCTAGATCTGCCCCAGTGCACAGTGATTTATCTTCTTCACACAAATGTTTTTATCACACAAACTTAACTTTTCTAGATCATATTTTATCATCTCACTGGTATGTGATGCATCACACTAACACCAATACAGCACCTTGTGTTTTTTCTAACTCAGACTTATTTTGGGTCTGAATATCTCTACAGAAAATTGTTTGAGTCAAGTAGATGTGTGATTGTTCTCACCACCAAATTTTGAAAAGTGTTACTGGCTGGTGAAGGAACCAGGTGAAACTGACTTTTCAATTGCATTGTGATAATGTTATCATGTGTTGTTTGGGTACATGTCCACACAGTGAACTGTCGTTTTTCTTTGTGTCTTTCAGAACAAAATCAAAATGTAGATATTAAAAAAACAAAACAAAAAAACAGTGCTGATAACATGTAAACACCAGTACAGCTGACCTAGTACCTGCCACGTGATGTCTGTGCTTCTAGCACTCTATGCATGTGAGATGGTGCCTGTGTGTTTGCACCAGCAAACTGGCAGGTATAGTGTTTTACTTTGTTGTATATCCCATTTAATCAAGTTTTGCAGTTTAAAACCCTGAGAATTGTTGCACATCATAATGTAATATATAATAAAAGGAAAATTATGCTTATCAGAATGATTACAGCTATGTATATCGCCCACAACTATTATCAGACCCGCATGTCTGCTAGCCTGTATCTTATCTCCAGTCCTGATATCTTCCTCTTTAATGTCCACTCACTGCAATACCTGACCCTGAACCAAGCACTTCTCCTTTTCCTGACCATGTGGAATCTTCTGAGCTCATGGCCAAGCTCCAGCTAACAGAGAAGTGACCTCATGGCAAGTTGATGTCTCATTAACTGTAACTGTTCCTAAATTAAAGCGCATGAATTATCTTCTACCCAAATTATTGTTTAAATCATAAGACCTGGATCCAAACTTGTGATTTAGGTGCAATTTGACTCAATTCCCCACTATAACAAACAGACCATTCATCAGTTCATTTTTTCATCTCCTTTCAATGCTGTACCATTTCATGCAGTTTAAATCCTTGCTCTTTTCCTTGTGTACATATTGTGAATAAACCTATTTAGCATATAACTGGCTCTCTCATGTCATCTGGAAGGTGCCATTTTGTGGTGCGGCTGCCATTTCAGGAACTGCCTTGTGGAGAAGGACACTGTTAGTCTTTGTCATTGTATTAACCTGTCTGCTCACCTGTAATATCCATCTACTCAGAAGGTCTTACCTGTATGGGGTCCTCAACTGAGCTGTGGGTCTAAACTCCCTGGTGGTCTGTCTCCCCTGGTCAGCCTTCACTAATCCAGGGCCATACACCTGGTTGAAGACATAACCAGCCAGAACTTCCCTGCTACACAGTGGTCCACAGTCAAACCAGATCCACCCAGATTTCCACCAGCACCCAGAGGAAATAATGGCCATATAGCCTCCCTGTATTTTTAACAATATGAAGTAATTAATCTTCTGTTCACTGACACTACACAAAGCCTAATGTGATGCAAACAAACTATAGCCTGTTTAACAAGTCTAGTTAGCTATTAGGTTTCTGACCTTTTGGAAATGGTGGTGGGGAAATTATTGATCTTCAGTTTCCTTTTACTGCTGGGTGAACTGCTAACTGCAATTACACATTTTCAATTATCCATGAGTGCACGTATCCACAAGCACAAAACACACAAACGCAATATTGATTTTAAACAGGAGACCTGGCTAAAGAAACCAAACACAGATGGCATTACATAGAGCCTACTGTTACAAAAGGTGATGGGTAGAATCTGTAAGGACTAAAGACTTTAACTGGTATCGCACTTACACCCACATGGATGCACCCACCATGAAGGGAATTGTGGAAAAGCAGCACTTGTCATGGGGAGCAGCAAAGCAAGAAAAGCCTACTCCAAAGTACTAATGCACTTTTTTAGTCCAGGGTCATTGGGGATCATCTGCAGTGAAGATGAAGGGTCAGGCAGTCAGTACAGGGCTTTAAGCTCAAATCAGCCCTGGTGAAATACTCCACTGATGGGCTTCATGGCAACACAAGGGTGCCTCAAATGCTTTTATGTACAATTAAATGTAAGGTTTCATACACCCTTGAGCATTACAGAAATGTAAATTATGATAATTGGGACTTGGGTAAATGTTTGATAGTGTCTCATTTCCATGAGCACTGTACACTTGGCCATACAGCTCAGGGCTTTCTGGTTCAAACATCTTTCCTGCTCACCAGAGCACACATTGATACAACTTACTCTGGTGATTTGATTTGGCCGTTTGCTGTCTCCACATATCCTCGGCTTGCCTGAATATGGCACGTGACAAAACTAAATTGAAGCCAAGTTCCTTTTAATATTGTTATTATGTCATCTTCTCGGAGGACAGCACACAAAATATTGAATAGGAACGAACTTAAAATTAAGCAGTTTGAAAATTTGAGTAAAAGACTGCACAGTTATTTAAGGAAAGACTTTGAGATGCTATGTTCATAAAACGTAATGATTTGTTAGATGGACTGGTGTTTCCTAAAAGATAAGTGATTTTCATGGCTTCCTGTTGTACACAAAGCCTGGTGTATCTTATTTCATTGTTGTCCAGAAGTTATTAAAACACATCAGTGGGTTACACTGTTTCCCTAGTAGACAGGTCCCTTTGTTATATGAACAGAGGCACTGTCATGTTGAGGCAATCCCACATACACAGCCAGAATTACTCACTAGAGTACCAGATGTGGTGTATATCAATCCATGTGTATGTGAGGTTTGTATGTAGCTGTTTTATTTTAATTATAGTACATATCTGTGACCTGGTTTTTCATAAACATACATCTTCAGTAAATCTTGGGACTGAGAGCTATGTACAGGGTAACATTTGATAATATAAAAAAAACATAAAATATTGTCAGTCTTACACTTTAATGAGGAGATCCTCCTTAACCTTAAGTGCTGGGTGGAGCATAGTGGACTGATTTGGAGTTTCATACTAGTGCTACCTTACTGCAGCTTTAAACAAAACAAATAAATTATTCGTAACTCTTTAGACACTAATCACTATTTTTACTATTTTATTATTTCATGATTATCTTACAAGTTTGTTGCCCTCTCAATTACCGGTAAGAATATTTGCCTCTTGCAAAATTAAATAGTAGCTAATGAGTTTGTGTTGGTAATTTATACAGTATTAGTTTCCTAATAACAAAGCAGAGAGAACCAGCATCTTAAGTTTTAATTAGCTTGCATTGAGAGATCATATTCAGTAATTTAAGATACTCTGGTCACTGAAGCACTACACATGGAAGGCTTATGCTTGACGCTGCTATTTGTTGCTACTAACTTCAATGGCACAGTTCTAGTCTGGCCAAAAGAACAACACTACAGGAGGAAAATTACAAAGTGTCAATAAACCACTCAAAACACCCTTCTTGTTAATGTGTCCTAAACAGGAAGCTGTGCAATATGTAAGTCCATGAAATAAAATAAACATGATCAGCTCAACACAGGCTTCGCCCCTATCCTGGACTTAATTGGGGAAATAGTTTTGTAGCAGTTCTCATTTAAATCCTTGTGTGGAATTTTGGGTTCAGGGAGAAGTTAATGGACCAGAACATCTGTTAGGCATTGTGTTGATCTCCATTAAGAGACTGCGGGCGGTGGAGACTTGCTAGTTTGTATGGCTGGAAAAACATTTCCATATGCTGTGGCATTCTGGTGGCATTGTCCAAGTGTCTGATTGCTGGGCCACTTTCTCACAGTAGACTGTAGATTTGAAGATTTACATGCTGTATGTCAATGAAAATGTTATTTTGCAAAGAGCTTTAAACTTCACATCGGTTGCTGCACTCTGACAAATGCCTGCCACTGTTTTATTACAGTATCTTTAGTATGTTTTAGTAAGTGGCACACGATATATTATTCAGTCAGTCAGTACCTTCTGCTGGGATTGATGCCTTTCAGGATGACATATATTTACTGCCTGATTTAACATATTTAATAAGTGAGTCTGTATGCCATACTCACAACACTTGGATCAGATTTTTCTGGTTGTCATAGGCAGCTCTGAACTTTCATTTTCGTCAACAGAAAACAGGCAGTAACACATTACAGGATCATTACTGTATGTTTTGTGATAACGAAAGAGTAGAGAGCTGAAATGAGATGAAAGTCATGTAAAAATGAATGACTCTTGTTCTTTTCCTAGTAGCCATTTTACTTGCTGTACTCTGCTTCCGTTTCTGTATACTGGATAGGTATATTGGTGTTTTGGAAATATGGTTTGGCTCTTTAGTGAGCTATATTAAGGAGAATGCTACATCAGACTAGTTTAAAAAATAATGCAATAATTAAGATACATTAATGCAGATGCATGTTATACTTTGTGTTTTGTAGTATTTGAATCTAATATTTGTTTAATATTATATTTAATTCATGGGCTTCAAATGTCTTGTTCGCTTGACTAATATTACAATTCATAAGATTTCATAATGTTAACATTTTAAAATAATGAAGATAATGTACTTTGGTTTTGGATAGGAATACTGTGAATAATGAAATCTGAAGTCTCAAGTGCAAGACTTTTTTTTTGAATTTGTAATGTTGAATTTAAAAATATCAGAGTCTGATTCACTTCAGCAGTAACTGTGAAAGAGTTTAAATTCCACTTTCCCAAGACAGTGGTAATAAAGCCTCCTCCTGCATTCCTGGTGTGTTTATTTCTATTTAAAATCCTGTGTAAATACTCATGTGACTGAATCTGGATCTTTCCTTCTTGCTGGTGTCTAGGTGTGGCAGTGTGGAGGGAGTATGGAAGTCCTGCCATGTGCCAGAGTGGCCCACATCGAGCGCACCAAGAAGCCCTACAACAATGACATAGATTACTACGCCAAGCGCAATGCTCTGCGGGCCGCTGAGGTGTGGATGGATGAATATAAATCCCATGTCTACATGGCATGGAACATTCCCATGAATGTAAGTTCTTCTCCATCTTTGATCACTCCGTCCCTCGGTCCCTGAGCTCCCTTTGCCCCTTCTCTTCCCTTCTCACTTGCTCATTCAAACATGCAGCCCGGGTCTTGGGAGACACTAGTCAATAAAAATTCAAAATTCTGATTTCATCCCACTTGACCTTCACACTGGCAAAGTGAGGAAACAGTGAAGTCCAAACAGATGAAAGAGGTGCACCAGCTGAAGGAGAGGAGCCTCATTTCTAATCAGTCTCTTTTCATACACATCTGTTTAGCTTAATTGCTTTCAAGGATCTTCAGAGTTGGGCTGCAAAATAATAAACAGCTCCTTTCATTAATAAAGAGTTTAATATTGAATCCTAATTGCCTCTTCAGCCATGCACTGTAGAATGAGATGATTGTGGGTGAAGGACATCAGCATAGGCCTCAGAACACTGTCCAAAACAACACACTGTTGTTCATAGCAGAATAATAAGTGGCAGTGTAGCAGTCACACCCGGGTCTGACAGGCTGCTGATGTCTGCATGTGGTCTAGAAATCTGGCACAAATATCATTATGTGTGAACTCACTAAGTGCAGGTAGGAAGGGACAGATGGGGAAAGGTTGTAACTGTTGTGTGTGTGTGTGTAGTATGGAGGACATGCGGGGCAGTATGGTTGGGGGGCAACTTTGACAGACTAGCCAATCAGACCACATCCCTTCTCCTGTGTAATTTTAAACACAGCTGTCCTGTGGCGCAGTTATTTTGTGTACAGTACAAAGATCTGCTACTACGATTATTTCATCTACCCCCCTCCCTCTGCTCCCAAGCCACCCATACACACAATCATATTCTTGTGATTCTTGCTATTGTCTAAGGCACTCGCTGAGAGCACAATTACTTCAGTGGGGGAGAGGCTTTATGACACACACAGTAGCAAGTCCAAATACCAAACAACATCTCACTGAAAATTGAGTGAATTTTTTTTTATGTTGCTTTATGGTACCTAAAAAAAAAGGTGGATATTTCCAACTAGAATTCATTATTAGTAGATGCTGAAAGCAAATTCAGCAGCTGTGTGGTTCCAGCAGAGAGGGGAGACTGATGAGAGGGATTTGTCTGAAAACACTGTCTGGCAACAAGACTGCTGTGTGTGTGTGTGTGTGTGTGTGTGTGTGTGAGTGTATGCACACTCATGTTTGTCTGTTTATAGCTGTAATTTATTCCCTAACCCCTTACCATAACTTTGACCATCACAAGTACATGCCTCACCCCAGCACTTACCCAAACCTACATTTCTCTAAAACCTTCAAACAGGCCTTTGAATGTGTGAGGACCACCTGCAAAGTCCTCACAATGCAAAAATGTCCTCCCAGTGATGGTTTTGAACAAAAATGTGTCCACACAACCATACAAAGACATATACACATGTCTGTGTGTGTGCATCATGATCAGGCCTCTGTGCCAGGCAGTGCAGCTATTAGGCATTCCTCCAATCAATCTGGGAAGCCACCTCCATCATGCAGATAGGGCCGTCAGGGCTCATAATTAAGCAGCTGATTAGAATTTACGCAGCTTAGATCATGTCTAATGAAAGAACAATGAAGGTCCCACATGACAGGCACATCTATCCATCTCTTAACTAAATGCTTGATGCATCTGAACACCTCCAAACTCTTGTGTCAGCTCTGTTCTCCAGAGGCTAGCGCTCATTTCAATAAAGAACCCACTGGCTAAGAAGTTTTTTGTCTTTGCTTTGTCCACTTACTGCCAGAATCCCGGAGTCGATTTTGGGGATGTCTCAGAGCGCTTGGCCTTAAGGAAGAGGCTGCAGTGTCAGAGTTTTCGATGGTACCTTGAACACGTCTACCCGGAGATGCGGATCTACAACAACACTATCACATATGGCGAGGTGAGAAACTTGCTAACAGGGTTATTAGAAATAGTGCGGATGCAAATTTTTCTCTTCAGCAGCTCTTACAGAGCTGTGGTGCATAGAGAAAGATAGCTAGTATGATTCCACACATATGAAAAGTGGTAAGAACTTCTTAATTTGTGAGCTGTGTATTATCAGAATCTTTTTAGTGACTGTCTTTACTGAGAAACATTTGTCTTTGATATAGATGTCAGCAGTTATCAGCCAATCAGTGTATCTGGTTTAAGTTTGTACAAACCTCCTTCCACATCAAAGACTCCACATAAAATCAATATAAATTCACTGTGGCCATCTAAGATAATGGTATCTTGTTGCTTTAGCAATGCACCATCACCACACCGGACTAGATGTGATTTCCTCATAATGACTTTTAATTAAGCACATCAATTTTCTATTCCACCTTGATTGTTTTGGGCTTGGCAGTACACTCAGCACAGCGGAGACAGAAAATGGGATTATGACAGGTTGAAGACCTGAACACACTCCAGTGTCACAGTCAGATTTAGAGGTTTGCTGACATGCACCTTTTGTCTCACTTCAGCAATGGAAAACAGAGAAAAATCAATATGCTCTGCACATACAATGTCATTTTACATCAAAAGTAACCTCTAGATTCATCAAAGCTGTGGGAATTTCACCCCCTTTGTTTCCCCTGCCGCCTGTTTTAGTCTGGCACCCAGCTAATGGATTCCTCAGCAGCAGTCACTTAAGTGGCACTATTTCAGATCTGTTGACAAGCTGGAAAGCAGTTACCTTGTGGTGCCACACAGCTGCAGCAGCAGAAGCGGGTCTCATCTGTCACTGAGCATCAGCGCCACGCTCGGCCACGCCGACCAGACCAGCCGAGTGGAACCCTCCTGACAACAGCGCATGATGGATATGTCACAACCTGGAAATGAAGCCGTATGCATTCAAATCACATAGAACCAAAGCTTGTACTGAATGCACACCACACCACTGTCTGGAGGACGGGAGAGACAAAACTAGGACTGGTCACTGTGTAATGATGCACTGTCACATCTTGATCACTTTGATATGAAATAAGACTGCTTGGTCAACACGCTACAGTAGATCTGGTAAACAGGTGGCAGTATAACATAAAATAGGGGCTGTCACACCTGAGAAAAAATTTGAAATTCAGAGAAATGCTAAATATCGAACTGACTGATTTTGATTTTCTCAATTTCAAATCTTTGGCAATTGTAACCACAGAAGCTAATAGCGAGGAAGTACTTTCTGAGTGAGAGAAACCTGATATTATACACATACATTTTGGCTGATGCAGACTATATTGATACTGTGAACTGAAATACAAGACATTTCAATTTGATCACTTTCATGTAGAAATATTTTCCATCCATTATCTATCCCACTTGCCCTGTAGAGGGTCATGGGGTGGATGGTTGGAGGGCGGTTGCCTGGAGCCAATCCCACCTGATGTTGAGGGTCACCAGTCTATTACTGGTGCCTGACACATAATGTTGAGACAGACAACCATTCACACTCACTGTCACATGTAGGGACAAGACAGAGCCACCGCACGCATGTTTTTGAACCTTGGGAGAAAGCCGGAGTACCTGGGGGAAAGCCACACAGGCACAGGGAAAATATGCAAACTCCACACAAAAAGGCCCCAGTCAACTTCCAGGTTCGATTGCAGAACCTTCTTGCTGTAAAGGGACAGTGCCAACCACTGCATCACTGTGCCACCCAGTAAAGTATTATAATTGCTCAAAAGGAAGAGTTCCCTCCAGAGCTTTCTCTGATTAAAGAGATCATTGTTTTTGTCTGTAAAGCACTTTGTAACCGTGGCTTTGAAAAGTGCTACATAAATAAAGCTTTACTTGCTTGCTTAATTTTCTTGTTAAAAGTCAGTGCTAATTATTTGCTCAGTGGGTTTGTTGCTTTCCTTTTGCGTTGACACCAGTGAAAGTGAAAATGAGGTGAAGAAAGGAGGTTCTCACTTCCATCATAAGCTGCTCAGCAGTGACTACCCATCCTCTCTCCATTATTTCCTTCATTGTCTTTCAGGTGAGGAACAGCAAGGCCAGTGGCTACTGCCTGGACCAGGGCTCTGAGGACGACGACAAAGCCATCCTGTACCCCTGCCATGGCATGTCCTCCCAGGTCAGACCACACTCATGAGCTGCTTGTCATGGGTTCATTAGGCGCAATCAATCAGTAGTATGATTAGTTAAACTGTCACTCAGTGCATTGACTTGACACATCCAAAATAACGTTACAAGCTTTATCCATCCATCCATCCATTTTCCTCCGCTTATCCGGGACCGGGTCGCGGGGGCAGCAGTCTAAGCAAAGATGCCCAGACTTCCCTCTCTCCAGACACTTCCTCCAGCTCCTCCGGGGGAATGCCAAGGCTTTCCCAGGCCAACCGAGAGACATAGTCCCTCCAGCGTGTCCTAGGTCTTCCCCGGGGCCTCCTCCCGGTGGGACCTGCCCGGAGCACCTCCCCAGGAAGGCGCCCAGGAGGCATCCGAAACAGATGCCCGAGCCACCTCAGCTGGCTCCTCTCG